ACTCTACTTGGAGAAATGCGACCACATTCATTACAGCTTAATTCAAACTCTGGGTCAAATACTATATTGAGTCTTTTACTTTATTTCGGCTACAGGCTGCTATATCATGAAAAACATATTAAATACTAGCAGCATGGCCCAGAGTTGCCGTGCTTGATTCAAAAATCGTACAACTCATACAGCAATCGCTATCACTTGACTTAAAATATTTGTGCCCTTCCTTGCGTTTCAAGGAGTGCCCTTTGCCGTGTGATGTTGCTACATGTCTTACTTCTTGCCTATCTCACACTGCGAATTTTTTCTTTAAACAAGGACCCGTAACTGGAAAAACCGAATGAAAAAAGAATGTTAACAACAAATACATTTTCATACCCAACCCAGTTCTGCGGAATCAGTTTAAGCAAGCAAATGAGCCAATTGGAGTAAAGTGCCATGCAGATTTAAATTTTTCCCACTTGTGACAAATGCAGCTATCGTATTTTTTTGCATGCTAGCATGCTAGTTAACATTCGTGTCAGTCAGTTGTTGGCTCTCACGCTGGCCAATAGAATCTTCCTCCCTATTCGTGGCAGCCAGCTATTGGCTCTCACTCTGGCCAGTAGAAAATGGCCGCAAACTACATGAAAACTGCCGTAGAAGCATGAAAAAATCGATTATTTCCACCATCGATAGGAGTTGGGAAATACAAAGTCGATCTTGGCCTTGCCGCTAACTTGGAGCATGTGCATGTACATTTTGGTGCAAATCCGTCGAAAATTGCGGCCGTGCATTCGTTACACACACACACACACACACACACACACACACACACACACACACAGATGCTTGAAGACTTTCTTATGTAAGGAAGGGCTTTCTCCAGTGTCAATCTCTTCGAACACATTTGTCCAAAAAGAAAACTGATTTACATCATTGGTGTTATATCACAGCTTATACATACTTACAAAATCGGCGCCTACACGTTTCTGTGCATAGGCATCTAAAAAGGCAGTTAGCCGATCCCTATTGCAGACACCTGATGAGACACATGAATATTTGTTTAACGCTCACATACTCCAAATATGGTTTATACTGTAGATATGCTGAGCGGATATTAATTGAAATTTCTGGGAGAGAGAGCGTAATCTGGTGTGATCAGTAGTTGAACAAGGCTAGCATGATGAAAACCTCGGTCACAATGACTTGTGATTTTTTTGCTAGCACAATTATTATCAACTTCCTAACAATTCTTTTTACTCTATTTTACTCATAAGGCTTCAGTCTATTCGTGGTGATGTTTTCAGTGACTTTCCAATATTGCCTCACGATGGGGCCACCACCTCACCAACGATAGCATAAAAAAATACCTCCCTGACATATCTACAATGGTAAGGGCACCTCGGCGTGGTGTAATGGTTATCAAGCTTGTCTCGTTAGATAAGTTACGACAAAAGTGAGTAAGATCCTCACTAGGTGTCTTTCGGCCTTGTACCGCATCTAAGCTACGCTTAGAAAACAACCATATTTAAAATGGTGAGATTTGAATCTGGTCTCCTAGTCGGAAGTCATATTATAACCACACAACCACGAGCCTATGCATACCTACATACATATAAATACAAAACAAAAATACAAGCATACAAATAATATTGACTATTCACTGGAGAGGAAAAAGACTTCCTTTCAAAGTGGAGTATCTTCCAGGCGGATGCTTGTGGACACTTGTATGGATGACTAAGTTTTGCCTATAGACTCAAGAATAAACATGAACACGACATATAAATAGACACACATATAATAAAAAAGGGATTTCAATTAAAGAACCCTAGGTGTTTGATATGTTATAAAGTACACCAACCCAATGCACATACATGCAAATTACAAATATACACATTTTTTCTTTGTTTCTAAGGATATTCATTATCCTTTAATACTTTGTGCAGTTTCTGAGTGAAGTTTAACAATTTCGTTTTAAGACAAAAATTTAATGCAAACATTCCATATTCTTATCAATAAAATAGAATAATTTATAAACAAAAGTGTGTAAAAGATTCAATTATAAATACTTTAAAGATCTTTTTCTAAATAGAAAACTTAAACGCTCCTCATATTCTATATTCCGAGAAATTGCATTTCCAGCTAATTGGCAGGAAATTAACTCAAAATTTGTTTGCGTTTGCAGTTTCTCTCTGGGTAAAATCTGCAAACTTTTTGAAAAAAAATTACCATGATTGATATATCTTTCGCGTGACGAAAATATCTTCCAAAGAAATTCGCGAGCAAATTCCTAGGACATTTTTCTCCTTAAATTTCAACTTGTGAAAGCTATTAGCAGCCATGAAAATGTATTGTCTGGGCAGAATGCATAAGAGCGATCAGAGGACAAACATGTCAAGAAGCTGTTTTGTTATATGACAAAGGTGAGATCAGCCAATCTGTAAATCTAATGTTCAGACATCGAAAAAAGTAATCTTAGAAGAGAGTATGAAATCAAGCATGGCTGATCATGTGTAGGAAAAATGGAAAAAAGTAATCCTTGAAGAGATTATGAAATCAAGCATGGCTTATCATGTGTAGGAAAAAAGAAAAAAAAAGTAATCTGCTCCAGTCAAATAAAGTTAGATCTCTTCAGACGACCTTATAAAACTGATGCCTAACGAGGACCGGAGAGTACAATGACTGAAACACTATGAAGAAATTAGAACCCAGTTTTGAATAATTTAATGTATTTTATTCCACATCTTTGATGGTCAGAGGGAAAATGGGAAAATTTGGTAACATAGATTCTCTTAATCTTGAAGCCTGTTGAAGAAATTAATTGGCTTCAAGATTAAGAGAATCTCTATATATCTAGCGAAATATAATGTTTTTGGTACACAGTCGATTGGACAGGGTGAGAGGTTGGTTATCAGAAACTATCCTGCTACAAGCAGTGTGATTCACAGCACGTCCATTCTAACAATTGACACAAGCACCATAAAAACTTATCTTTCAGTATTCGGTTCGAATATGCATTTAAATACCGAGCGGGGCCTAACAAATACATTACTTTTTAATCAATTCACCCTAAGCAAGGCGATAATGTCACTAAGATGCAAGGAGTGACTGGGAGTGATAGAGAAAGAGAAGACTTTATAAGGAACCTGAAACACAATCCTAAACAAGAAACAAGGGATACAATTCTATTCCTGTTCAAAACATCAGGGGAGGAGAATGATATATACAATTATATTTTCTGTACAAAAAAAAAGGAGGGGGTAAACCCATTAAATCAAACAAAAGGTTCAACTAAACAACTTAAACGAATTAAAACTGTGATAGCATAGTACGGTCCACTCCATAAAAATGCGAATTCAGCTCTCAGACAGAATCAAGAAGCTTACTTGCTAGTGACGGGGGAGGTACAAAAAATATGGGACTGGGAAAAATGTAAGAGACTGGTCTAATCAAGATACTACTACTACTACTACTACTACTACTACTACTACTACTAATAATAATAATAATAAAAACAGGAGTAAAATTAATAATGTAAAGAATTTTGAACCGGGCCAAAACAAAGGAAGGTTAAGAGAATCTACTTGAGAAACTACATCGATAGAATAAAGTACTCTGATAATTCTTTGGATGATTTTGTGACATCATCGACGATAAACACTGAGGGTTTGATAATGACGTCAGATTTAATATTAAACGGGGTTTCCGAATAAAATAAAAGAGATAATAATCCCCGCTCCGCCTAAAGGAAAGACTTAACAAATGGAAGCCTAACTGGCTGAATAGTTTGACAATTTGAATATTTTATTTGCCTTTCGTTTTGATAACATTTATTCGCCATGATTCAACGCCGTCAACACTGGCGCCCGACAAGGGAAAGTGAGCAATAACTGTTCAACAATTTGCCAACGACGATATTTTGATATGCTAATCAACACTAAGTGTAAATATTTGGAGTGAAGAAAAGGTGACGCGTAAAGTTTGAAAAGGGAGAAAAGATTGATTGATGTCCTAATAGGAGAGGGAAAAGAGATAGATATAGAGAAACAAACACGGCGAAAGAAAGAGAGTCAATGGAATTAGTAAAAAGGAAAAAAGGGAGAAGAAGGAGTAAAGAAAACAGAGAGAAAGATAGAGATAAATGAGACAAAAAAAAAACAAAAAAAAAACAAAAAAAAAACAAAAAAAATATGAGAAATAGAAAAGAGAGAATGAAAGCGAGAAAAAGAAAATGGGAAATAAAAAATAAAACGAAGAAAAGAAAGAAAGAGAAAAGTGAGGATAAGAAGGAAAAAAACAACAAAAAAAGAAGGACAAAAAACAAAAAAAAATGTAAAGGAGAAATTGAAGAGAGAAAGAAAAGTTAGATAAGAAGGAAATGAGAATCAAAGTGATGAAGAAAAAAAAAGAGAGCATGAGGAAAAATAAAAGCGACAGAAAGAGAAAGTGAGAATGATAAAAAGAGTGAGAAAGCAAGAAAGAAAGAAAGATAAAAAGTGAAAAAAAAATGGAAAAATAAAGATAAAAATACGAGAAAAAAAAGACGAGAGATAAAAGGAGAATAATAGATAAAAAAAAAAGAGAACGGGTGGGTGAAGAAAAAAAGAAAACATTCAGAAACAAAAAATAGAGAGAAAATGCAGAGAAAAAAAAGTGAGAAAGAGAAGGATTGATTAATTGATTTTTTACGGTTTATCAACATTTTGCGGGTTATTTAAAGCCAGGAGATATATTTGTTAGATTACAAGAATTTTTGGAAATTTACTGATATATATATCCTACTAGCTAACCCATAGATGGAGGGCAGAAGAAATGGATTCATACTTTTCTCAAGGATGGACACCTCGACGTGGTGTAATGGTTAGCAAGCTTGTCTCGCTAAAACAATTGCGACAGAGTAGTGAGTTCTATCCTGACTGGAAACTCCGTACTTTTGGAAAAAATCACCGTACCTTTCCCAAGGATATTTGTCCGTATATAACGAAACTAAGGAACGCGCCATTATATCACCTGCAAAATCAAGTTTACAGCACCAGGTATTCATAAGCGGATACCCATTTAGTTACTGACCAGGCTCGGCGTTACTTAACCTCGGTGATCGTAGGAGAACCGGTGTTTCAAGGTTAAATGGCCGTAAGTCGGGGAGAGAGAGAGAGAGAGAGAGAGAGAGATTTGGGTGGAAAAGGAAAAAAAAGAGGCAAAGTATAATGAAAACAATTAGAGAAATGGAAGAAGGAGGAGAAGAAGAAGAAGAAGAAGAAGAGAGGATTATAAAGAGAGATAAATTTATAAAATAAAAGCGATCATGGGGAAAAGCGGTGGTGGTAAATCAAAGCAAGCGATAGAGAGATAGAGAGGGAGAGAGAGAGAGAGGAATAAAGAAAGAAAGAACAAGTGGGAAAGAGAAAGCGAAAGACAAAGAGAGAATGGGAGAAAGAAAGGAAGTGATTAACCAATAACAACAGAAACGTTGAAAGGATTGGGAAAATTTAGGGTCGGAAGCGGAAAGGGAGAGAAAAAAAATCCGACAAAAATAGAGAAAGAGAAGATGAAAGAGACCAACAAACACAAGAGAGGATAATACTGAGAACTGTCATTATCATTTCAAGAATTTTTCGCTCAACTGAACACATTTATTTTTATTGTTGCTATTCTCACACAGACCGAAACGTCATGGAAACACCAACAATAATAAACAATAAAAAAAAAAATAAATGTGTTCAATTGTCCGAAAAAACTCGTGGAAAAAAAAAATAACAGTAAAAATACTAAGTGTGCACAAAAATTCCCTAGTCCTCTGAAAAGCAATATAGTGAATAAACAGTTGAAAGCAGACTTTCCGCTGGGAACTTTCCACACACTTGCCACAGACAAATCACGCGGAAAACAATGGTTCTGAAGTTAAGCAGTGTTGAACCCAGTCAGTAATTTGCTGGGGACCGGTTGTGAACACAGGATACTGTTAAGCAGCCAACTACAACCTGAAATATGTTTCGGTTCTAAATGACACTCAAAAGGGGTGATACGACGTAGAAACTAAAACAATCAACCAATCAAACAAATCCACACACTTAATAAAAAGTTAAAAAGAAAGAAATAAAGCAAGAGAAAAAAAAAAACACCTGAAAACATATCATCAACAAAAATGAATTAATTAGATAAATATATTAGATAAATTAATTAGCTAAAAAAATACATTTAAAAAAAAAACATGTCCTTCTCCTCTAGGATCCCCGACATGGAGCCGGACTAAACAAATTAATCTACTAATCTAATTAATGACTACAGAGACTTGGCTCTTTATTAAAATGTCCGCTCTTTTTTCACTGATATAAGTTTGATAGATATGTGGGTGGTTAACGGCTATCGACGATTAAAGTGGGATCAGGGAGTGCAGTTTAAATTCTGTTCCATTCAGCTGTATTCAATTTGTACCAATGCAATGAATCCATCAATGTTCCCCTCAGCTATTGATTAAATAGGAAAAATAAACTGGGTCCTCTAGCCTTGACTGTCAGCCATCCTAGTTGAAAGACAACTCTGAATTCAAAACAGCGGAGAAGAACAGAAAAGACCAGTAAAAAATTTTATAGCAATTAACAGATACTAAAGAGACTGTATCATTGGAGACCAATGGTTGCCTGTGTTATGAAAAAAAACATAGCACAAAAACAAAGTTTGGACTTGTTTTGAGGTAGTGGCGTGTTTCCTGTGTTTAAACCCAGATAAAAAGTTGGCGAGGCACAATTTTTCCAACTCATTATTTTGATGTTCCATAGTAATAAAAGCTTGGGAAATAATTGCATCGGATCGACGTTCCCTCGATGTCATTTTTTTTAAGCGTTTCACCCCAAGCAAGGCGGGAAGCCACTAGGACGCAAGGAGTTACATAAAATTTGGAGCAAGATCAGATAGGAGTGATAGAGGAAAGGATGAGGAGAAGGATAGTGGATAGATCAAGGCAACTGGAGATGTCGATTGATATTACATTTGAATAGCTGGAGATTATAGCTCTCAGGGAAACTAGAATAGGGAAGGGAGTTCCACAGGCGAGAGGTGCGAGACATGAAGCTATTGGAGTAGAAGAGACGGCTATATTTAGGAGTTTCGACAGTGAAGGGGTGAGAGCGGGATGCCAGCCTCGTAGGTCGCTTGAACTCATGAAGTCTGGGAACCAGCGAATGCAGCTCCTCGGAGCAATTGCCATGGAAGTATTTGTAAAACAGACAGAGAGAGGCGGCGCTGCGTCTGTGAGAAAGTGACTGTAGACGAGATGCCAGAGCAGGGCCAATTATGATGTCACAAAATCATAATTGAGCCTATCAAGAACCCCGAACAGAAGGGGCTCCAGACCATATATGGCAGCAATACTCTATGCAAGGGCGAATTGTTCTTAGTTTTCTTGAAAAGGATCGATTAAAAGATATATTTGTTATTTGAATGCACATTGTGCATGATTTATAACAGATGCGGTATCTGCATATTCAATAAATATTACCAAATGCATAAACAAAGCTGCAGTGTTCGCAAAGCTGAAGACGATCTGGACACTTCCTAAACTAGAAAACTAACAGAAATTTGATTCATAAAACTAGAAAATTAGCAATTCGACAGGAAAACTAACATCAATAGATATGAGTTAACATCAGTTGATTTTATTTTATTATACTAAAGTTTCTCAATATAAACCTTGAACGCCACTCAAAGTAAAGGGTTACTTGTAAAATCCTTACGACGAATGAGATATGAATAAAAGAGGTGGAAGAAAGTGAAGATTGAGGATAAGGAGGATAGTTAACGAGTGAACCTTGACTTGAAGGGATTAATATGTAGCGATCGGGTAAATATCCACGTAGAATTAAGTTTCGCGAAGTAGATGGTATTGGGTAAAAATCTATCTATATAAAACTTTCTCCTTACATTTAGAATACGAATGGAATTAAACTGATTCGAGTCCGAGGAAGTAGAATCCCGTGTACTAGTCGTAAAGGCTTGAAATGGCGAAACAAATGACTGGTGCATATGTGACACGATGAGATTGTTAATTGGCCCTTAAAAATTATTAAGAAGAAAATCTTTTGGTTTTTTTTCTATCAAGAATAGGATTTTATTCAAAACAAAGCATTTTCCTATGATTGGGTTATTTTAATGGTCACTCGGTTAAATAAGTTCGAGTCTGCTAAATTCAAGTTACCTGTTGCTTCCATAGTCGGTCTCCATGTTGAAAGGTCACTGCGAAGTAATGAGTTCAAAGCCTGTCAAAAATTGAATTTGACCTACTTACAGCATCCTAGCTACCTTTAGACTTAAAACTTAAATTGTAATCGGAACTATGGTTGGTTGACCAATGAGAATATGACACGAAATGGTCTGTAATTGGTCTGTAATCAGAAGACATTTTGATCTGAAAATTTCCTCCATAAACGCTGAAGCACTGAGTACTACATCAAGTAGAGCGGAGACACCAGATTCTCTCCAGCCAGTAAAAGACATTGTGAAAACCTGGCTCATTGATGAAAATCCCAGACTCTGAACCAACTATTCAAATTGCGATAAAAATGTCCGTAATGCCGACAAAACTTCTCACCGTGATTTTTCTATTCCCCTTGGCGATATTAACACCTATTGAAAAAAACTGTCGTCTTTCAATAAACTGGTAGAAATTAACATTTTCTATTATTTATGGATTTTTTCACAACTGATTTATAATAAATTGTTTGTCTTCTGTTAACGGAGACTTGCTTGATTCTTTAAGTTGCTGTCCCTTCTAGCAAATCAAACCGACTATCCTGACCACAGAATTTCCGACCGAATTGTCTCATCTCCCGTCTGTGGATCTTTCAAACACAGCGTGGGCACAGAATGATTTGAGAGAACAACTAGTCGGAAACACATGTAGTAGTCACGGAACTAAGACCACACCTAGTCCAGTGACTAGCATGGGACCACACATTTTAATATTTGCCATAGAAATAGCAATAGTCTGGGAAAGAGACTTCCAATAAGACCGTATAAACTGTTAAGGCTGGAAAGTGTGAATCGATCAACTCCATCCAAGATATGTTAGCAGTGCTCCATATTTGGTCTGATTTGACACTTGTCAAGATCAAGCAGTACAGAAAGACTCAGGTACTTAATGAATCCATAGAATGTGTCGGCCATTTTTCAATCATCTTTAAAAGTGGATCGAATACATGAGTTCCACTTGAGGTACGGAATGAGCTTGAAATAGAATAGACACTCAAAGAATGGAGCCTCATTGACAGTGGAACAATTTCTCGTGAAGAGGGAAAGCTCTGATCATTGATGACGAAACAATACTAGCTTTTATTTTGAGGTATTGAACGTTATAAGTCATTTTCCCATGAGCTGTTAGAACTAGATCAAAGAAGAGATCAGTTGCAAGGCTTCTCCAGTCATCTTTATTTTTGGAAATACTTTCCTAAACAATAGCATCATCTGCATAGGTCTTTAAAATCATCTGAGAATGTTCCAGATTATACTGGTCAACCGTCAATTTTCATCAGGAATGTTATGTGTTGTATTATATGTAACTTTGTCCGCTGATTCCAAAAATGTAATCGGATACAGATTCTCTGTTGAGACGAAATGGGCATAAAAGCATGCATTGTTACCGGTAAAAGTCTGATACAGGTAATTATTGTATTTTTGTATTATTCAAATTTTCTATGCTTTAATCAAACATTTTTCGCAAAATATTCCATTAGCCATATTTGGTATCTCCATAAATTGTACTTTTTTCTTTTCAGTTGTTCAGTACTCGTCATCCATTTTGACTGTTTTCCAACCATCATCATCATCATCATCACCGTCGTCGTCGCCGTCGTCATCTGCCCATTTTATATGTCAAAGCATTGCAAGAACAGTCTTAATATATTTTGTCATGTCTGTGGTTCATTTACCACCAAAGCTCAGCAATGTGTCATCACAAGTGAAATCCACCAGTTGTACTTTGGAAGCCCTCTCGGCCATGAAGATAAGAATTTGGCTCCACATATCATCTGATCGGCTGGTACCAATGGGCTAAGGGATTGGCTTAATAAAAGGGAAAGAGCAATACCTACAATATGGAGAGAACCAAAGGATCAAAGACTGATACTTTTTCACCAAGCGTAAGATTGTGTATCCCAGAATTTAGAATCGGGAAAAAAGATCAGTACCATACAACGATGATGACCTTCCTGTTCCAGTAACACACAACGATGATGACCTTCTTGTTCCAGTACCACACAATGATGATGACCTTCTTGTTCCAGTACCATAGAACGATGATGAACTTCCTGTTCCAGTACCACACAACGATGACGACCTTCTTGTTCCAGTACCACACAACAATGTTGACCTTCTTGTTCCAGTACCATACAACGATGATGAACTTTATGTTCCAGTACCACACAACGATGACGACCTTCTTGTTCCAGTACCACACAACAATGTTGACCTTCTTGTTCCAGTACCACACAATGATGATGACCTTCTTGTTCCAGTACCATACAACGATGATGAACTTTCTGTTCCAGTACCACACAACGATGATGACCTTCTTGTTCCAGTACCACACAACGATGTTGACCTTCTTGTTCCAGTACCACACAGTGATGATGACCTTCTTGTTCCAGTACCACACAACGATGATGACCTTTCTGTTCCAGTACCACACAACAGTGGTGACCTTCCTGTTCTAGTACTGCCGGAGAATTGCCTTCATATGTCCGGCGAAGATGTACTTTGTGAAGAAACTACTAGTGATGTGGAAACAATCAAAGTGGACGCAATTGTTATTCTTGAAACTGAAAACAATCCACAGAAATGTTCTTAAGGAGTGTTAAATGATTTGGCTAGAAACCTAACATTGTCAAATGATGAAGCCAAGAGAAGTGTCTGTTTCTATTAGTCTTTTCATAAAGAGAAATCATCAGTTCACGTCTTTCTTCTCTGTGGACCGATACGGTTTCTGTAATAACATTAATGTTATTTTACGGTTTGTACGAAGAGCATGTTCCATCTGAATCGCGCTTATTCATTGATTCATCTAATTGACATGTCAAGGAACCACTGCTACATAATGGAAATAAGAAACCGTCCATTTCCATAAGACATTCAGTGCACAAGTAGGAGTGTTATGAGAACATGCAGGTACAACTCGATGTCATAAATTACTCAGAATACAAGTAGAATATATGCGGAGACTTAAAGGTGATTGGAATGTTGATAGGAATTCACGAAATATTTCTGATTTTTAAGCGTTAGGGACAATTGTGGAATAGCCAAGCGCCACATGCAATCAAATTCACCGCAACGAGAATCACATGGGCCGGAATTCTTGAACGTCTACAGTAAGCTATTAGTAAAGCCAGAAAATGGTCTTCTCCCTCCTCTTCAAATAAACTTTGGGTTCATGAAATAATACAGGGAGATGCTTGCCAAGAAGAGCTCAGAAGGCTTTGAATATGTGACGGACAAGTTCCCAAAAATCAGCCACGTAAAACCGTAGAAAGGCGTATTCGTAGGTCCGTAGATAAAAGAACACTTCAAGGACAAGAAATTCATCAAAACCCTTTATGGGATTGAACTTAAAACCTGGGAATCCTTTAAGTTGATCAGTGAAGATTTTCTGGTTAACAAAAGATTCCATGATTTTTAAAATAAAATGTCTTCTGGAGTCTTTTAGAGCAGTGGGCAGTCGGATGTCACAGAAAATCCTTTTCCTTGATTGACATCTGAAATTTCTTGACAGAGAACCTTGACGCGTTGTCTGATGAGCAAGGGGGACACTTTCATCATGATAGAGCATCAGTGGATCAACAATATCAAGGATTTTTTGAATGAAGGAATGGTAGTTGTCTACTGTTGATTGTTATACAGGGATTAACCTGATAATAAGCACCAGAGAAAGTATAAAACCCAATGATTTTAAGTTTTATTTGAATAGAATGTATTATACAATAGATGGCCACTAAAATGTCATATATTTTATTTATTATACCTTATAAGTACATGAATTACGTACCAAACATAAAAAACTACAGGTATAAGCAATATAAAATATGATCTGATAGAGATAAATCGACTTTAGATTAAAATCGGCATGAAAAATTGACTAAGAAAACTAATCATTCATCGTTGAATATTTAGCAAAATTACATTTTGTTGACCAGTATTATTAATAAAAATCAGAAAGTGGTTAGAACCTAGAAGATAGCCTGCATTTATCACGTAGACTTTCAAGGGGACGGCTGTATTGATTGCGTAGCCTTCAGAACACTAGCAATTCACAGCAATCTTCATGGACCCACACGCAGTAAGAGAGATAAGGGAGTAAACTAATCAACAGTATTGAAACCAGAGCTGACGAAGATCAAAGAAAGCCCAATCTCTGCACACATTAATCATGGCTGTCAGAAACTGTAATAATTCAACAAAAGAACAAAATATTTTGGTTAAAAATAGATAAACGTGTAACATTTTTTATGGGTAAATGAGAGAAGAATAAGTTACTGAAGTGAACGACATATTTCATGGATTATATATTGTCATTTGACGGTCAGAATTCCCGCCAAAAAACGAAGCAGGTTATCGCGGTGACTTTACACTGGTCCGTGAATTGACGAATTAATTAACGAGACGGCGAGATTTTCACGTAAAAAAAGTATGAAGTAGAAAAGGACAACAAAAATAATACTTATGCTCACAATCAGGTAGAAATCTGACATTTCTTGGACGGATAATGATGAAGGAAAACTTGGTAAACATAACTTACACAGGGCATACTGAGAACAAGAGTTCGTAGTCAACGGCATCGGGCCAAATGCCTTACGACATTCTTTGAATGCATGGCGGAACAGGAATGGGAGTCGGAGCAAAAGGAGAAAAACTACTAAGACCCACAAGGGATAGGAAGTTTTAGAGATCCATGATGACCTATTTCCTGAAGGGATGAGACACGCAAAAGAAAAACGAGCAGATGGTCCGGAAATAGGCTGCGTTAGAGCAGATCTATCACTGTACCCTCCCAATTACTGTCGGGTAGTCGGCAAAAATGTCCATGATTTGAACAGTTAAAATATCCAATACAGACCCCATTGGATTTTGCCATTTATTATTACTATTATTATTTCACCTGGTGAAAAGATGGCCTTTGAATTTCAATAAGAAATCTTCTATTGGTCTGAAGACGGCCGATACGACCCACTAGAGATCAAGAACGGTCGTTGACCAAACAACCATTCGAACCACATATGATGTCGTGATAATGACATAAATGTCTGAAACTAAATTGAAAAGACAAGAATAGAAATTAATGAAGAATTCAAAGGGCAAGAAGGAAGAAGGAGGGCCTTAAAAGAATGAAACTGGATCCCAAATAATGCCAAGCCAATTTCGGTTATTGGGAAGAACTATAATAATGATCAAATAACAAGGCAGAAGAAAAGAAGCAGACACCGCCTGTACAGATACAAATGAAAATATAAATATAAATGAATGTAACAAATTAGCTGAGGGGGTACAAACATTGTTTCAAGTCTGAAAAAGATACGGAACATAAAGGAAAGCAAACATGAATGTTATAGTAACTTACTAAGCCGAAAGTGATGGTTTCGTTTATGGGATAGCGGTTGAAGGGGAAATAAATAATCACCTACAAGGATACGCATTTGGAGTCTATCGAGAAAGTAAACCCTGGGCAGCTCAATATATGAGGGGGACAGATCTGGCTGTTGAAAAGATAGAGGGTAAGCATGAAGAGTCAGGTACTTACTCGAGGGGTACAACGAACAGAAGATTCTTTTCTGCATCGTTATTGATATAGATTTCAAAGTCTTGAAATCTGATTAGAATGTTTAATAATCTATTAAACATCAACTAGACTTTTGAAGAGAGTGCTGCAGTAGGGAATAGGCTTGCTGTCACTTGATACCAGCTGAAAATCATAAGGCCAAACTGTTGTGAAACGTTAAATGTACACTACAGCTGATTCTACTGCTTAGACAACTAACAGTAAAGAATAGAGGCAAAATATTCTACAGTTGCCGAAACTACAGAAAGGAGATTGTAAATCTTTTTTTGTCTCTGTATTGTTTCACTTCAAGAATATTGGAGATATAATTCTCCACATCTTCCTGTATTTTTGTTTCTCACAGCAATACTTACCCTCTCATGATTCCTTTTTTTTTTGTTTTTCAGGTACTTGTTTGTTCATTCATTTGTGCAGACAAGTAGATTATCAACAGTTTTATCTGCGTCCTTTGCTTTAGTTGCGTGTTGTTTGTGCTAAATTCTCCAAAGCTTCTTTCCTCATCCGTTTTTTCTTAGTAAACGTTTGTTTGTGTTCCTACACTCGTGGGATCTCCCTCATTTGGCTCGTGCTCTGTTCATGGTATTCTCAACATTTGTATGTAGAACCATAAGTCAGTTTTGTTTTTTTATTTGTATTTTATTTTTTTTGGCATTTGTGGTAAAATTATCCAAACGGTTTGATCGATTGATTATGTTATATTCCGTGCTAATAGGAATTTATACTTGAAAAAACACGGCCGATAAAATAAGTAAAGGTTTATTGTAAAAATCAATACAATAACAAATAAGGTAACAGTTATACGGACGATCGTCGCAAGTCAAACCAGTAGTGTGTGCTACTAGTGGAAGGTCGGTAGTTCTTACGTAAGTCTGAGTCGTAATCAACAGATCCCAGTTAGACAATATTTACCAGCTCCCCCTGCACGATGTTGGCTGTGGCACAAGATCGAATTTAATGCGGGGCAATCCGAGCCCGTAGGCTGGTCCAAAATTTCCTCGTAACCCCGCATAAATTGGTTCGGGTCTGTCTACCTCCCCGGATGAGTCTCTGCCCTTCCGCATAGCCTCGTCTGGGTTCCGAAGGCAGAGAGTTCGACAACAGCTAAGATCTGAGTAACAGATCCCAGCTAGACGTTATCTAGCAACTGCTCCACGCAGTCACATGTGTTTCAAGGCCGAATTTAGTGTGCGGTTCCCGAGCACGTAGGCTCGGCCGGAAAATCCCCGTTGACCCAGCATTAACGGGATCTTGTCTGTTTACCTCCCCGGACGAGACACTGCCTTTCGGCATAGCCTCATCCGGATTTCTCTCTGCTAGGCAGGGAGTTTGACTGTTTAGCCGAAAAGATTTCGGCTAGTATATTTCCCCACCCGACCGCGAGTGTTGCATGTAGCATAAGGCCGGGTTAATGTGGGTTCCCCGAGCCCGTAGGCTCGGTCAAAAATATTCCCTTTCGAACCCGTATAAACGTGTTCAGGGTCAGTCTACCTCCACGAACGAGACTCTGCCCTCGTCCGGGTTCCTCCAGAGAGTTCAACTGTTTAGCCGAAAAGATTTCGGATAGACAATATTTAGCCCCCCCCCCCACGAGGGTTGCGTGGCACAAGGCCGAGTTTAACGTGGGTCTTCCGAGCCCGTAAGCTTGGCCAATAAATGCCCGTAGAACCCGCATAAAGGGATCGGGTTGGTCAACCTCCCCGAACGAGATGCTGCCCCTCAGCGGAGCCTCGTCCGGGTTTCTTTCTGCTTTTCTGAGACAAAGAGTTCGATCGTCTAACCGAAAAAAATTTCCGGTAGACTCTATAGTCCGTTGACTTACAGATACTTATAGTGTAGTCACTCATGGTGGTGACGTGTTATTCCATTTCATCATATATTTGGGAGTGGGGGTTCACATTGCCTTAACAGATGCTACCACCGGGTCAGGGTAGTCCTAGGTGTAACAGCAATTGAGAGGTGAATTCACGCTGCTCAAAACCTCCAATCTCCCGATGCCTTGCTGTCGGATGTAGTTTATCGTCATACCCAGGACTACAGTCGATGTGAAAAAAAAATAATGCGAAAAGCATCAATGTACGTGTGTTTGCGTGTTTGTGCGATTTCGGGTGGGTTCGTGTGTGGCGGCAGTAGAGAAAGAGTGGGAAAAGGAATTCATTGAAAGAATGTGACGAAAAGAAAAAAAACAAAAAACTATTTTACTACTATTAATACTAATAATATTACCAATACGATTACCCAGGAGTAAAATTATAAAAAAATAAATAAACGTAAATAAAAAAAAAAGACTCAAAGTTTGAAATCAGAGTAAATAAAACTGAATAAATACATTTAACAAGGCCCAAAACACACTTCCAAAGAGAAAAAATAGAAGTGATCTGTGTTTCTAATGTGAGAAAGGCTTTTTTTTAATCTCAAATAACGAATGATAAGCAGAGAATAGGAGACAAAAAAGAGTGTAAAGATATCAACAAACGAAATATCGAATTAATCTGCACGCTTCTTAAGTTATCAATTCAACAAAATCCCGGTGTGCGCCACTTTAGAAAGGGATAACAAAAGGCAACAATGGCGGGCAAAACGAGGTAGCATTGTAGGTGGCGCAGTTGTCTGGCAGCTGGAGCTGCACCCTGATTGTTTGATAGGATCATTACTCTTTGACTAGCCTCATAAAATATTCATAACTTTTTCTGTTTGCGTTCTTTAAATGCCATCTATTTCACAATGGTTTCGCGTTAAACTCATGGCTTATTACTTAATTTCTCTGGCCATAGATTCATTGGCTTCTTTCCTTCTTTCGATCTCTTTTCTTTTTCATTTCAAGATCAATATTGCCAAGTAAAATGAAATATTATTTTTTATTCGGATTTTAAAATAATCAACCTGTATACTGGGATTTACTTTTCCTCTTTAATTACCTGATTCTAAGTTTTAAATATTTTTCAACAATTTAAAAACGCCTTTTTATCTTTCGTTTTTTTTATAGATAATCTGAAATATATATTAATTTTATATTTGGAGGAGAATCTTTTCTGTTTCATACATGTTTTATTAAATATAACAGACAAGGAATATTTTTAAGCCAGGTCCGAAATTCCCCTATTTACAAACGGCAAAAGCGCGTTGGCTGTCTTTTTGAAGCCCCTCTCTCCGCCATATGTTGAATTTCTAAGCGTAAGTTAGATGTGGCACAAGGACAAGAGTATGGTACTCTATCCAGTCGACTGCGTTTAAGCATGACACAGACTGTTGCTTCTGGGTTTTGACTTCAATGTTCACTTTTATATTTCATACGCTTTATCTCTGATATGAATATTTATCTATGACACAGACTGTGTTTCGCTAAATAAAATAAACGGTCGGCCAGTGTATTTTGGAGGTTAGCACTGTAAGGGGCACAATCATTGTAATTAAAATACACAATATATTGAGCATCAATGGCCACAACTAAATGAATTTATCTTTCCTTTCTCTTAGTTTAGCGAGTGGGGGAATCCACTCATAAAGAAAAATATAACGTATGTACATAAATTCAATCTTACTGTCAAGTCTACCTTCCCACCTACATACCTACATAGCTAGCTAGCTAGCTAGATAGATAGATTGAGATAGATAGATATTGAACAGACGGAGATGAATAAACATATATATATATATATATATATATATATATATATATATATATATATATATATATATATATATATTTTAATTTCATTTTCGTTTCATTTCATTTCATTTTGGGAAGTGCTATCTGATGATCCGGCGTCGTTTAAAAGGGCTCTGGTGAAATAAATTATTATAATGGTACCTTAAAGTGGTCTGTCTTCCTTTTAAATTGATAAAATATATATATATATATATATATATATATATATATATATATATATATATATATATAGCGAAACTGTCTCTGGATGACAATATATATGCTCCTGAAAAATTTATTTCAGTTGAGGTCTCTGGGGAGTAAGTTTAGATTTGTAAACAGTGACTACTATGGCTAATAATGCAAGACGCTTCGGTAAAGCGAATCAAGTTCTCTCAGTCACTGTGTGTTTAACTAAAATAAATAAATAAATAAATACGCTTAAATTCACCTTCAACCCTGCCGTGGCCCAACGGCTTAGGGATAGAATCCTCCGACTGATACCAATTCAGTCGGGTTTCGATCCTAGCTAGAGGCAACCGGACGTCTGACCACACTGATGAGCTGTGATACAGCGAAACAGTCAGTCTGTGGATGACAATATATATATATATATATATATATATATATAGAGAGAGAGAGAGAGAGAGATGGATGGAAAGATGTGAAAGAAAAGAATACTGACGTTAAGTAAAGATATCGCCAATTTTTATTTTCTTTAAGAGATATATAAATATCTGAGATAAACATAAAGACAAGCAGAGAAAAAGATAGATGATGAATAGATTGATATATATATATATATATATATATATATATATATATATATATAGAGAGAGAGAGAGAGAGAGTCAGTTACTCTTGTGATCCTCCTTATTCTGTTGTCAAAAATTGCTCATTTTTTAAATATGCACAGCGCCTTACTGTGAGATAAATCACATTATAAACTAGTGTTAGTAAATTCAACTTTCACATGACAATCCTCTATCATGGCCTTGTGCCAGACTCTCCTGATATCAGTGCATATTTACAACAAATCCAGTTAGAAATGACCTCCTCGACCGTTTTCAAAGAATTTTCTCGAGACGTTGACGTTTCTTGATAGCGTTTATTTCCTCTCAGTCTTATACAACAGAATATGTTGAGTCATATACGACCAGAAGATGTAGACTTCGCACTAATAGAATAGGTGAATTCATGCCTTTTTAATATAATTTTATTGAAATGTCATCAGGATATAGTAATTTGACTTTTTCTATTAAAAAATATTCAAGTTAGATACTGACTTGAATAAATATTTTAAAAAATTGGAATTTTCGTTTTCAAGGTAAGCAATTTTTGTAACCTAAGAAGGCTTACTTAATGAGGAATAGCAACAACGGAGATTGGAAATGAAATAGTAATCATTATAGCATCAACAAAATACAATACTCACCAGTGGCTTGGAATAGGTAAACCACTGCTAGTGGTGGACTACTAGAACACCACATTAACTCCACTTACAATAGTGTCCAACTTATTTATGAGGATTAGAACATAACCATTAGTGTTCTTAGGTACGGTATATAACAGATAGATAAATGGATATAATGAGAAAAGATAGATAAATAGTGTTGTAGTTTAAAAAGGGTTACGAATGAGGAATAAGCAAAATGGAGGTTGGAAGTGGAAATGGTAATCTTTATACAACAAAATACAATACTCGCCAGCGCCGTGAAGTAGGTAAACCACTGTTAGTGGTGGACTAATTAAACACCATACTACCTCCACTTACAATCGTGTCCAACCTATTTATGAGGATTAGGACATACCCATTAGTGTTCGTAGTGTCCACTCTTTTGCCACCTGGAAATTTGACGCAGCATAATCTTTCTACGTATATTATCCCTCCATTAAGTCTTGTGCTGTTCGAAGCTTAGGTTAGAAAATATTGATACCATAGCGATTATTTCTGTCATTTTTGTAATGATATTTGCACCAAATTCTAAATGAAATACCAGAAAAAAAAAGAAGTAAAAGAATGATTAGAAGATAAAAACAAAGAAGAATGATAGTTGGAAAGAATAAGAATAAGAATAAGAATGGTTAGGATGAAAAATAGACTACCAGGTTTTATAAGGAAATCTATGCAAACAATTCCATGCGACACCTTTAAGCTGTTGAATGAAACTATAAGAACGAAAGAAGTTAAGCATAATAGAAAACAACAACAACAACAACAATGACAACAAAAAGCGGGAAGGAGGGGGAATGAAAACTTTAAAATAAATAAGCACACGCTTTTACGGAGATAATTCGAGGAAAAGAATGAATGAATAAATAAAAGAAATGAATGGACGAAGAAATAAAGAAAAATATTCTATACTGTCGCTACGACTAAGAAGGGATATTTTCGTGAATAGGCTCTAGATAAACATCCAGAGAATATTTGTGTATTTGTTTCTTTATTTTCTTGAGCTAATGTCGGTAAGATAGGATTAGGTAAAGCCTCCATTTCGTTAGAAAAGGAGAGTGCTTTGGAGAAAATGAAAGAAATGTCCGTGGCCGGCAGGGGGAAAAAGGGAGAAAAGAAAGCTTTAATATCTGATGCTTTGAATGATTTCATTGGTTGGAGAACTTGGTAAATGAAAATACACGAAAGCACGTTTTGCAGTCACAGTTTAAGGATCACTGGATTTAAAAGGAAAATAGATTTCTCTTTTAGACCTTCTTCTTTGCCTTCTTTTTATTCTTCTTTTTTTCCTTCTTTTTCTTCGCCCTCACGTCGTCTTTGTCCTTTCTTCTTCTTTTTCTTCTTTTTCTTTGCTTTGTTTTCTTTCTTCTTTTTTGCATTATTGTTCTTTGCTTTTGTATCTTTTTGCTTTCGTCTTTTTTACCTTCTTCTTTGCTCTTTTCTTCTTTGTTTTTTCTTCTTTGCCTTTTTCATCCATTTCTTTGCTTTCTCCTTCTTCTTCCATTTCATATGTTCCTTTTTTCTTTAATTATTGTTCTTTGCTTTTTTTCAACTTTTTCTTCGTTTTCTTTTTTCTTTGCATTATTCTTTGCTCTTTTCTTCTTTGTTTTTTCTTCTTTGCCTTTTTCATCCATTTCTTTGCTTTTCCTTCTTCTTCCATTTCATATGTTCCTTTTTTTCTTTAATTATTGTTCTTTGCTTTTTTTCAACTTTTTCTTCGTTTTCTTTTTTCTTTGCATTATTCTTTGCTCTTTTCTTCTTTGTTTTTTCTTCTTTGCCTTTTTCATCCATTTCTTTGCTTTCTCCTTCTTCTTCCATTTCATATGTTCCTTTTTTCTTTAATTATTGTTCTTTGCTTTTTTTCAACTTTTTCTTCGTTTTCTTTTTTCTTTGCATTATTCTTTGCTCTTTTCTTCTTTGATTTCTTCTTTAGCTCCTCCTTCCTATTTACCATTTTCACCTTTTTCTTTTTCTTTGCTTTCTTCTTCCACTTTGCTGTTTTCTTCTCATTTACCATTTTCTTCTTCTTCTTCTTCTTCTTCTTTGCCCTCTTCTCATACATCTCTTTCTTTTCTCAGTTAATGATATTTCTAAGCATAAGACAATACAAAACTCGATTGAAACAAAGTTTTATGACGGAATTTCAAATAGGTTGTGGCTGCTTGGAAAATCCTCCTTCAAAATGTCTTTTGCTCAAACAAGGTTATTCTCCAATTCTTGGAAATACAACCATTCCCATCGCGAGAAGTTATTATACTCGTCGAGCGCACAGGAATCGAAATTTGACGGACTGGAAACCCGAAGATGAAGCGAAATCATGATATTACCTAATACAATTTGTATACATTGAGTTTTCATAGTAGTATTATCTTGTTGCTTGTAATAAAAAATATAAAGATAATGACAGACACAATGTACCTTGTAAATCAGACTCTTCGCTAAAGACATAATGCTTTCAGTTTTATCTTTTTCCTCATCTGGTTTACTAAAATGCTCCAACATAAGGACGAAAGAAAAAGAGACGTACTCCTTGCACAATTTGAGCCTGTAAACGTTGCCAATAAAAATGATGTGCCCATGCGCATTGTATACAAATGCAAGGGTATGGGGAACAGAATACTTCATTAGAGTCCTCAAGACCAACACGCAAAGGTGTCAATTATATCCATAAGTAGGATAACTTTTAATCTGTAAGTAGACACCAAGCCCATCAAGATGGCTGCACATAGCAACCTGGCCCTTAAATCAGAAGATTGCTATTTTCATGTCATATGTTTAAATGGCTTACATTATGTGTTCTTTTTTGCTTCATTTGGTTTGGTTTATTTTGTTTTACGGTATATCAACCTCAATGGGTTATTTAACGCCGACAAATTGTTTTGAAGGATACGTTTATATGAATAAAATATTTTTTAATATTTTTTTTCAAAAAATGTATTTGCTGGTAATTTTTTTTCAAAAAATATTGTCTGTAATAATGTATTTTCGTTCAAAGATTTATTGCTGGTAATATTTTTTTCAAAGAAAGTATTGCTGGTATTTTTTTTTACTATAAAATCTATTTTTATACTTCCAAAGTGTTTTGACCCTAGTTCGGGGTGGGGGTAACTATTTAACCACAGCTGAGAACCTAACAGGTATTACCACTCCGGGTCAGGGTGATCTTACCACTCCGGGTCAGGGTGATCTTACCACTCCGGGTCAGGGTGATCTTACCACTCCGGGTCAGAGTGATCTTACCACTCCGGGTCAGGGTGATCTTACCACTCCGGGTCAGAGTGATCTTACCACTCCGGGTCAGGGTGATCTTACCACTCCGGGTCAGGGTGATCCTGGGATCAACAGAGATTAAGAGGTTGTTTCACGCTCCTCAAAACCTCCCACAGCTGGATGTAGTTTATTGGCATACCCAGGACATTGTTTTATTTTGTTACAGGGACACCACGTGTGTATCTCATGGTGTCTCTGTGTATGTGTAATTTTTTAGATAGTAAATTGAGTATTAAATTTTGAGTAAAAGATTACCAATGTATAATACGGTTTGCTGATGTATAGATCTTGCATTCTTTAATTATGTTTTGAGAATATTAGTGATATAAAGAAATGTGTCTACTGTATATTTTTATGGATTATTTATTAATACTCTTTTTAGGTATTTTCTCCTTAATATTTTCTTCGTATTTCTGCGGCAGATGTTCGGATGAACATCGCCATTTAGTTCAGACCTTCACGGCTAGAATTCGGCAGGTCAGGTACACGGAGTCTACTCATCCTCATTCCTTTTGTATTCCATAGCTAAGGAGGAAGTCCCAATCAGATAGTGTCTTTATCAGAAGCATTGTCTACTGAAACAATGCTTCCCTATGAAATTATCATTTTTAAGTCTAGGGCCAACTATTATCTATTCTATATTTCCTCATAATACACAGTTCTTACTTTCTAATTTGAATTGCCCTTACAGCGTTCTTATTAAATCATCATCTACCTTGTTCTTGGACCTTGTATTGAATGAACAATAGTAGTTAAACTAAAACAGGTTCAGATGAAATAATGAAATCAGGAATGTCTGATCATATATGAAAGGAAATCAGGAATGGCTGATCATATATGAAGGGAAATCAGGAATGGCTGATCATGTATGAAGGGAAATCAGGAATTGCTGATCAAGTATGGAGGAAAATGAGTAGTCATCAATCCCTGTAAAATGAAGTAAAAATACTGGGGAGAAAGGAATTCTGGAGATTCAGACGTCTGAAAGAATCAACTCATACGTTAACTTATGAGGACCTTCTTAGTAGGCCTAGAAATAAATCCGACATGGTTAATAAACAAGGGTAAGTGTCAGTAAGGCTTCAACAGCAGAAGCAGTAAAAAGTGAAGTTTCTGTGAGTGCAGTCGAGCGTGACAAGTAGCAGCAGCAGCGGCATTCGTTGGTAAGAAAGGTAGGGCTAAGGGTTTCCATTCAGAATTGTCCCACGGGACAATAACCTAGTATTAATCGTTGGTTTGTGACATAGTAATTTCAGGTCGAGTAATGTTTACTTGAAGAGGAAAAATGGGGAGAGCAATGATTGAGCTATACAAAATAAGAACTAAACATGTCTCTAGACATGAGCAGTAGAACGTGATAATCTACCCCGTAGATTAAATAAATGGTTCAGTCCGATATTCCATGAAGAAGGTCGAAGAACAGAAGAGCCAAAACGTTGTCATAATAATTACAAAGGTGGAGAAAATAGTCCGCTTGTAAATAATGTGAATGAAAAAAAAAGCAAAACAGGATGTCATCTCACGGAATCACTGATGACCATTGGGATGTAGATATGCTAAAATAGCTATCAAGTACCCCAGAAACATGTGCCGATTGTTAAAATATTCTCTGATTTGAAAACTCCTGAAATGATCAGTAACTGGCGACTAGTAACAAGAGGAAAGACAGTTTCTTGAAAGAGTCTACTCGAACAGGAGTAACTACAGTTGGCTCTGTGCGGAGTCTCTGACTGCGTACGCCTCCTGTCGAACTCTCTGTGTTAGCAGAGAGGAACCCGGGCGAGGCTTTGCCGAAGGCCAAAATTTCGTCCGGGGAAGTAGACAGGGCCTGAACCCGTTTAATCGGCTTCAAAGGCTACTTTTTTTGGCCGAGCCTACGGGCTCGGAGAAACCCACAATAAAACCGGCCTTGTGCCATATTCGTTTCCCGTGGGTGAAATGATAAATACCGTTGGCTCTGTGCGGAACCCAAGAATGTAGGTAAGGTGATACATACCAGTTTGCTATAGTCATGAACAAGGAATTTTATCAGGTAACGCCACTCTTCTATCCGGAATATCAGCTCTCCTGATTTGAATTTTCTTGACTACCGTGTCTGGGGCACCGTTGAGATAGGGAACACAAAGCGATCACACCATAATAGGGAGTCAATAATCGCCGGTATTTTGCCGGTCAGCATAGATCGCCTAAGACTAAAACATAACTCAAATATATCTATTTAGAGAGCCGGGTGTTGAAAACTCCTTACGGTGCATATCACAAAGGTTATCGAAATACCATTGAATAAAAGCTGGAGTAGTGATCGTAGATTTTATGGTCACATCTTTGTAAATAGAAGTCTGCGAGATTCTATTGTGTCTAGCTGGTTTCAGAGAATTCATCGCTAAATAATTACAACGAGAGTTGCCATGCCATTGAATTATCGATTATGTTCTTCGTTTTACCGTTTCTGATAAAAACGAAATTCATGAAACCGTGTCGCTAAACGTAGCAGACGACACTAAACGATTATTTGAACAAACTTCGTGTATGAAAACGTTATTCTTGCGATGTGAAAAACAAACAAACCCTCAAAAAAAATAAATAAATAAAAACGGTATGTTAAGATTTTTTTAATCAGTGTGAATATTAATTTGTTATTAATAATTTAAAATTAAAGTTTGAAGCAGTATTAATAATCAGTTTATTTTATTTTAGTGGCTAGAATTATTTTAATCTGTACGAGATCTCGTTCTTTTCCGTTACAAGAAAAAACATAACATTTAAATATTTTCCCTCATCAAAAACAAAATTAGCATAGGAGATAAAGAAATTAAACCTAGAATAGGCTGTACTAGAGGTAGTTTCGTCCAACACGATAAATTGATACAAAAGAAAACATTAAACTAAAAGAATCATGTTCGTAAATAGTCTCGTCAGAACGAGACTTTCCTATGTATGTCGTGTATGGCGGCAAACTCGTTCAGAAATATTTAAAATGTCAGCTATATACAACCGCTTTCCCAGATCAATGGTTAAAAATGGCTTTGAGTGAAAGAAATATGTAGGTCTCAGGAAAGAAGCTTGTTCTTTGAAACTTCTGGACTGGCGCTACAGAATCACAAAAAAGAACTGTACTAAATAACATAGTCGACATCGCTTCAAGACTTTCAAGAGTAGCAACAACTAAAACGGATAGCACATGTAACTGGAAAAGAAAATAACGAAATAATCAAGAGATTGATATTCCACACTATTTCACATAAAAGAATAAGAAAATACCCCCCCATCAATACTGGAAAGAGCGAAAACAGAAGTGGCGTTGCTTGGTTAATGAACGCCAGATGTTTCCTTATAAGGAAACAGTTAATATTTTTCTATGTGCCATGTCCCTTCAGGACGTAGACAATCATGGCTTTCCACATCTCCCTGTCATTGACCTTAGTAAATTTGTCTTTTTGCAATATCTCCTAACATTATCTCCGACCATTTATATTAGCTTGCTAGGTAGGTTATGAGATGCTTCCTTTTGCCTTCAATATGTCTTGTGAGTGTTAAATTTTCCGGAGAACTCTATCCTCATTATGAGCTCTAAAAAATTCAATTGTCTTTTTCAAGTGATACGTATGTGTCCTTTTTGCTTCCGTTTTCTCATAAACCTCGTCGTTGCTTACATGCTCAGTCTATTGTATTATCAGCATCCTTCCGTAGAGCCAAGTTACAGTTGTCTCAAGTTTCTTCTCCATATGTACTGAGATGGTTCAGCATTCACTGTCATATATGGAGAAAGATATTACATAACAGTTCAGTACATTATTTTTTGTTTCCATTGCGTATGTGTATATATGTGGAAAAAAGTAAGAGAAAGAGGGTGTGTGTGTGTGTGTGTGTGAGAGAGAGAGAAGAGAGAGAGAGAGAGAGAGAGAGAGAGAGAGAGAAACATTGAGTTAGACACTCAGCAAAATCTTTCGCCATGTTTAATTTGTAGCTAAGTTGATTATTGTAATCGACTGCTCCTCCTGGTCATTGTTTGCGTGGACTGAAAAAAAATCATTTTTGGAAGGATGATTCTAGTACGCTTGTGCGTGGTTACAAATTAATCACTTCAGACCGTTACCTGTTCTAATCGATATATTTTGAGTTCTGTGCTTATCACCATCATGGTTAAATTCATTTATTGGAAGAACAGCTACGCGATTGAGTAGGGAAAAGAAATAATGAAGAAAGAAAGAAAGAAAGAAAGAAAGAAAGAAAGAAAGAAAGAAAGAACTCAATATGGTAAAGAAAACAAAACAGAAAGAAAGAAATATGCAGGAGCGAAAGATTAAATTAATAAATGAGAAAGAAATATACATGATAGAATAAAAGAAAGAAAGAAAGAAAGCGAAAACGAAAAATAAATGAATGACAAATAAGATAATACAAAAACAAAATAATAAAACTTAAAAAGAGGTGGGGGAATATTTTCGTTTACAAAAAGGGAGGAGAAAAGAAATAACTGATAGACAAGAAAGCCAAAGAGAGGAAGGAGGAGTAGAAATGATGTAGACGAGTAGGAGGGACGAAAAGCAATTGTGGGCGGAGAGCAGGCGGACGGTAAAAAAACGTTACTTTTTAACTGTTCTTTGGACTTTTTTTCGTTTTTCACATTGTGATTCTATTTGTCGGCCCCCGCCCTTCTTTTACTTTTTATTTGTTGACTTTAACGTTTCTTTGGGGTTTTTGTCTTAGTGTTCCGTTTATTTACTGTTATTTATCTGTTTCATTGACTTTTTCAATTTGGTGGGGATAGGGAATATGTTACTATTTTTGTTCTTGCATTTTTATATTTAGACTTATCTGCACAAACTGCCGAACGAGGAAAGATATAATCTTCTGGCACTACACGATCTTTTCTCCAAACATCTACTCATCTTACAACCGTTTCGTTTCTCCTCTATCTTCGACTTTTTCTTGATCTTTCAGATTCTTTAAATTCTTTCTTTACTTTTAATTTCTTTCATCTTTCTTTCATTGTTTTCTTTTGTTTCCCTTTCACTTCTTTTAGATTTCTTCTTTCTTTCTTTGTTTTTTCTTCGACTTCGGTTTTCCTTCTATTTAACCTATATCTGGGGGAGAAGGGAAAAATTCATATCATTCTCAAGGATACTTGTAAACGCAAGAAAATCGGCCAGGTTTCTCTTAGTTTCCTCTGTCTTTTTAAACGTATATATAATCACATTACTCTCTTTTTCTCTTTTTTCAGCCTCCACTCTTTCTCATAATATTTTTTCATTCATTTTATTTTTGTTGTTGCCCTCTTACTTTTTTTAAAATTTCTTCTTCCGTTCTTTTTCTTTGTATTGCGTAACTATTTCTTTTTTCTTTGTATTCTTTCTTTTCTTTTTTTTTGTTTTTCTTTTCCAGTTATTTGTTTTCTTTTTCTTCAAATTTTATTTCTTGCTTGCTTTCTTTTTCTTCTTCGATTTCCTTAACGAATTCTCTTTTATTTTACTTACCGTCCACAGTTTTCGTTACTTATCTGTCTTTCTTTATTTCTTTCTCCGTCTTTTTTCTTCATTTTTCTTATAATTCTCTTTTTTTTATATTCTTTCTTGTTTTCTTTTCCATTTTTCTCTTGTTTCTTCCTTTTCTTCTAATTTCCTTCCTTTCTACCTTTATTTTTCTTACTGAACGTTTTCTTTTCTTCCCCCGTCATTCTTTCTTTCTTTCTTTCTTTCTTTCTTTCTTTCTTTCCTATTTTTCCTTGATTTTTCTCATTTTTGTTCTTTCTTTCTTTCTTTCTTTCTTTCTTTCTTTCTTTCTTTCTTATTTTTACTTGACTTTTCTCATCTCTCTTATTCTTGTTCTTTCCTTCTTTCTTTCTTTCTTTCTTTTCCTTGATTTTTCGCATCTATCTCATTCTTTCTTTTTTTCTTATTTTTCCTTGATATTTCTCATCTTTCTCATTCTTTTTCTTTCTTTTTTATTCATTTTCCTTTTTTTTCTTTTTACTGTTCTTTTTCTTCTAATTTCCTTCCTATCTATTCATCTTTTTTTCCCTTCTTCCGGTTGCTTTTCCTTCTGCTGAATTTTACTCGCCATCTTTTCTAAATGTATGTACCAATCTCTTTCTCCATAACTCTTTTTTGCTGCACGATTCTACTTTAAATATCCATCTCTCTATATCTCTATCTCTCGCTTTGATACTCCTGTTTTCAGTCCTACCTCTCGCTTTCTCTTGTCTCCGTCTTTGTTTTCTCAGTCAACCCCATTTTAAACGAGATGGTGGGTGGGACGGAATAAGAAAACAAATCAACAACAAACAAACTGAAAACAAACATTCGGTTCTTGTCAGATAGAACGTCCGGAAAGAATGAAAGAAATAAAAAAAAGGGAAAAGAATGAAAGAAAAATAAAAGAAAACGGAAAAAAATATAAAATAAAAAGAAGAAAGAGTCGGATTATACGAGTATAATGGGCAAAGCTTTTGAAATCATTGCACAACGTGCGAATCAATAATATCGAGCGTGTTTCATTATCAATACATTGAAACCTTTTTCAATGAGCGAGTCATTATTTTAATCATATTCTCTGCTCGTACAAAGCCAGCACGAAGACTCCGAACAATTCAGCCAGGTTCGCCCATTCATTCGACTAGAAAAGTATATAATAATTACTCTCTACACATTATGGTAAGGTTTGTTTTCAAGAGAATACCTCTAAAGAGACCCAGTCGTCCGTAATAGCCTGCACGCCGGCCGACAATCGCACCTCTATTTCCGCTATTCTGTTCAGGACAAAACCAGGCATAAAATATTAATAAAGGGCCATTGTAGATAGCTGTTCAGTCCTAACGCAACATAAAAAGCTGGTTGGACCTAATGAAAAGACACTTTGTATGGGAATTGTTGTGAGGAAATAGTGTATGTTGGGTTCTGTTTATACGGCATTGTCGTTGATATAAATTCTCCGGGTTATTGATTTGCGCATGTGCGACGGGCCGCTTGCTGGCTAGCTAACCCCTACCAGTTCCTGTCACTGTTACCCAATAAAGACAGATGGAAACCAAAACAAACAAAAAGCAAAAGATAAAATAAAATAAAACAAAAAAAAAAAAACGGTGAGACGGAGAGAAAATGTTGGGTTGGGGAAGACAGAGAAATGGGACCTAAAAAGAGCGAAAACGAAAGAGAGAAAAAAAACAGAATATTAAAAAGTGGACGAAAGAATTAAACAAAAAATAAAAAAAATAGAAAAAAACCCCGAGTTAATTAGACAAAAAGATGGATGAATGGGTATCTCCCGTAGTGTGATGTTTAACAAAATTGTATTACAATCCATCGCTAAAGAGGTTAAGATTCACCAGGTGCTCAAAATTATTGATCTTATGCCAGACTCAGATAAAATTACTGAATCTTTACATTAAGCTCACTTCTGTTAATTTCTTTTCATAAGATATTGTCTACAAGCTTGTTTCTGAGTGCGTCATTTTACTGGCCTTATTCCAGACTTGGCAGAATATAGTATATGTTTAAGATGCTTTCTGAAGGGTAATTGCTCGTTTGTCAGTATCACAGGTCATTCTGCGTCCGGTCGTTATAAAGAACTCCAACATATTAGCCTTGCACCAGACTAGTAATTATCGACTATCTTTCATTGGGTGGTGAATACTAGTCTTCTTCCAAGTTATTTTTAAATTATTTCGTGTAATAAATAAAAGAAAGAAAAGAAAATTCTGAATGTCGAATTTGATTATAGAGAAAGAGAGTTAACTGAATAAAAGTAAAGAAAAAGAGAATATAGAAAATAAATGTTAAAAATTTAAAAGATAGAATAAAATGAATGAATGAATGAATGAAAAAAGAAATGAAACAAAAGATATAAAACGGGAGAAAAAGAGTGAAGGTTGGAAGTAAAGATAAAAGAAAAAAAAAGGACAACTGAAGATAAGGAAGCAAGGAAGGAAGGAGGAGAACATGTAGATGGAAAAAAAAGAAAGGAAAAATGAAAGAAACAAAAGAAAGGAAAAAAGAGAGGTGAAAAAAAGGGAAAAAAAGGATAAATAATGGAAGGCGGCAAAAGCAAAAATAAATAAATAAAAACAAAAGTAAGAAGGAAAGAAAAAGGAGAGGCAAAAAAAAACAAATAAATAAAGAAAGAAAGAAAAAAGATAGGCGAAAAAAGCAGAAATAAATAAAGAACTAAAGAGAAAGAAAGAAATAATGAAAGGCGGAAAAAAGTATAAATAAAAAAATAAATAAAGAAATAATGAAAGGAAAAGAAAAGAAAGAAAGAAAGAAAGAAAGGAAAACAAAATAAAGTAAGAAAGAAAGAAAGAAAGAAAGAAAGAAAGGAAAAGAAAGAAAGAAGGAAAGAAAGAAAGGAAAAGAAAAGGAAGAAAGAAAGAAAGGAAAAGAAAATAAAGAAAGGAACAGGAAGAAAGGAAGAAAGAAAGGAAAAGAAAAGAAAGAAAGAAAGAAAGAAAGAAAGGAACAGGAAGAAAGGAAGAAAGAAAAGAAAAGAAAAGAAAGAAACGAATAGAAAGAAAGGAAAAGAAAAGAAAGAAAGGAACAGAAAGGAAGAAAGAAAGAAAGGAAGGAAAAGAAAAGAACGAAAGAAAGGAACAGAAAGGAAGAAAGAAAGAGAGGAAAAGAAAGAAAGAAAGAAAGAAAGAAAGAAAGAAAGAAAGAAAGAAAGGAAAAGAAAGAAAGGAAAGGAAAAGAAAAGGAAGAAAGAAAGAAAGAATGAAAGGAAAAGAAAGAAAGGAAAGGAAAGGAAAAGAAAAGAAAGAAAGAAATGAACAGAAAGGAAGAAAGAAAGAAAGGAAAAGAAAAGAAAGAAAGAAAGAAAGAAAGGAAAAGAAACGAAAGAAAGAAAGAAAGAAAGGAAAGGAAAAGAAAAGAAAGAAAAGAAAAGAAAGAAAGAATGAAAGAAAGAAAGGGAAAAAAGAAGAGCTTGAAATATTAAACTAAATATGAAAGGATCGAGAAGAGTTGGTTGAATTCTAGGTGAAGAAGACAGCAAATCATTTTACAATAAACAAAAAAAGGAATGAAGTTGAAGGTAAGTAAAATCAAAGTGGGACAAAAGGACGCTACCTAAAAGTAGAATAAAACCTTTTGTAATCTCGAGAGAAGAAAAAGAAACACAAAGAAGAGTAACAGAAGAAAGTAACATCAAAACTGAAAAGTAAGATTTATTAAGAGGAAAAGTAAACTGAAAGAGAAAGGTAAAATTTGAAATAAGATAAGAACAGAGGCAAATCGATCAGTTTACAGTGAATATTTATTTGCTATCTGACAAAAGCAAAACATGCCGGTCGCTTATTTCATGTGGAAAATCTGTATTCAACGTACCGTATTTTCTTTTGTATAACACAAGCCCGGGTTTCGGAAGCTAAAAACAGGGAATAAATTACATCCTAGAGTATAATACGACCCCGTAGTACAGTCATTCTTATGTCATTTTTTGTTGTTGTTGCTGTACCATATTATACGTTAAAATTTGAATGTTGTATATAGATTTCACTAAAATATTTGATTTTTTCCGATATTAAAGAATAAAAATCAACCGGATGTTTAACCATTGTGTTTCTTCTTATTTGAAACCTTGCTGTTTCAAATAAGAGGTTTCGTAAGTAGAACAAAAATTGCTGAATATATGTATTTGTGCATAATACAACCCGAATTTATCGTATTACACAGAAGAAAATCCAGTAATACGCAGTACAACAATTGTTTTACAATGACGTTTAAAACAAAAAAGAAGCTTTTCACAATATTACCGCAGATATTCAACCAGTTATGTGCCATGCGTGATACACGCTTAGGCGATCATGTATCTTTCTATACATGACTGACGAGGCAGATTTTTTACCGCAGTAGGTTGCCATTTCTTTCTGCCATAGACCAGTTGCCATCCAAGACAATAGAACTCGGTCTGTCCTGCTAGTTACCCATTGCTGGGGGTGGGGGAGAATAAGAGGATTCATACCTTTCCCAAGGGTATTAGCACGTAAGTGAATGTAATGGATTGGACTGGAATACGAACTCGGCTCTCCGATTTCTCAATCCGAGCCAATATTATGATATCCTTCTAACATATGTTTTATTACAATAGGAAAAGGCTGAACAATGAACGTATTTAAGATTCTCAAGTTACAAATTATTCCCTATCGTCACGCAAATCAAAATATGACGTCAGATTTATTATTTAAATATGTTTGTTTTTCTTTTAACAGAAGACGGTCGATTTAACCGGTCTTTATCGTAGACACCATGACCAACTATTGACCTTATTAGAACGGAGCGGTAATCTCAAGGATGCGGGTAATGGAGAAAAAAAAAACCTTTCAAGTGTGAAATATACAAAAGAAATTCATCATCACATATCTGCATGACTCTTTCTCTCCAAACTTCATGAGCATCAATTGTACCTGGTAGGACTTCATGTTGGCATCCTCTGTCTTGACAGAATGAGCTTGAGACGTGCTTATCATTCAGTACCCATAATACACATCCATACGAGCCATTCCTATAGATATTACAGCAAATGTACTGTAATCCTCGCCTTTTAGGGGTTGTAATGTTTCGTAGCAAAAATGACATGTTTTGGATATATTGAGCATAAAAGCATGACAGCAGAATTGGAACAAATATTTTTTAATATAATCATATAATATAATGGTAATATTAGTCGTTTCCTTATAAGGAAACATTCGGTTTTCATTTACCGACTAGCCAGTACTACTTTCGGTTGAAATTTCTAAAAGCTATTTCTTAAAACAATTTTTCAGGCAAATCGGTTACCCAATTCCAGTAGCTGTTATCGCTCTTTCCCCGCTTGATGGTTGGCTTCACCCACACACCACATTCTGGACATCGACATAGTTAAGTTAATCGGCAAGATGTATGCATTGTAAGAGCATCAATATCATTTTCTGTCAGAGGTTCTTAGGAAGCAACTACCTCTGCATGTTCTTTGAGATGGTCTGCATTTTAGAGACCCATTTTGGTTAGTATGCTTTCAATGGGCAATCAATGCGAGTATGCTCATGTTTTGATGTCCACAATGAGAGTTCAATGTTATGAACTGGAATTTATTTTAATGAAATGAAAGATGTCTGAACTAAGTGCCAAATGCTAAAAAAACTAACTTTCAAGTTCTACATTTTATTACGTTCATATTATTACGTTAATATAATAACTTCTACATTTTATTACGTTCATATGATTACATTTATATAATAACTTTCAAGTTCTACATCTTATTATGTTCATATCATACCTTTCAAGTTCTACATTTTATTACGTTCATATCATTACGTTCATATCATAACTTTCAAGTTCTACATTTTATTACGTTCATATGATTACATTCATATCATAACTTTCAAGTTCTACATCATTTTATGTTCATATAATGATGAAATGTGAGGCGTGGTGTAATAGATAGCAACGTGGAATGACAACTCGGAGAACCGTGTTCGAATTCCAATCGAGTTCCTTATGTTCGCTTACGCGAAAAAAACAATTAGTAAATGTATGAATGCTTCTCTCTTCCCCCAGTGTATGGGTTAATAAGAGAATAGGCTGAGTGCTCAATCCTTGGTTGGCTTTGAACTTGAGAAATGACGCCGAAACTAATAAACACGGTTTGTTTATTGAATGGTTAACAAAACATTGGCTCATTGTTAATTGATTCGATCGTTATAAAATGGCAAATAAGGATTTCCTTATTTACATATTTTAATAATTTCGTAAATGTTTATGAACTGATGAATAAAATTTGTTTTCATATTTATTATTTTATAAATTAGTAAATGATAAATATTGCATTAGTTTTAACTGTATTAGTTTTTAAAATATTTTAAATATATTCTTCTGAATAAATAATCTAATAAATAAATAATGTTTAATATTTTTTGTAAATTCTCAAGAACAAAAACATTATATAAATTAACTTTCCTCATGTTTAGATTTAATTACAATTCTAATCATCGTTTTTAAAACAATAAACATTGTCGAGGAGTGAAGGTAGTTAAAATAATAGCGGTATCAACGGAAAAACCGTCCTTTTGACAATCCGATTTTTTTTTGCGGGCACGAAGATCCATGTTTGTCAAAGGTTTTATTTATGCTATTCTCCGAACTTAACATGACTAATTAGGTCTATGGGATGTGATGTTTAATAATTCCCATTTAGGACATTTCTCAGGGCTGCTGGGATAGCAGTGGCCAAATAGTACAAGAGTAGAAGTGAGTCAAATGAATATCAAAATTAATCTCCAACAGGAGGATATCTCCAGGTTTTGATATGAAATCTCCCTAATATCATCAATTCCGAACAAGGTATTTATGCAAATGACACTAACATTTACTCTAGTTTCATTTGCAAATCTGGAAAAGTAAGCCTGGCAGCTGATCTTAAAAAGGGGCTCCAATCAGTGGTAAACTGTAGCAAGAATTAGCTTGTAAATTTTAACGCTCCAGAACAAAACTTCTTTCATTTGACCAGCACAGAGAACGATTTCTGCCTACCACAAGCATAGCTGTTGCTAGATTTCAGGAGTCTAACACTCGATGCTTTCATTGCCTCACCTTTCCTGCTAACATGTAGCGGAATGCCTATACAGAATCAAAATCTTAATCTACTGCAAGGAAAGTTGGGTCACTGTGCCTTGCCAGGAATTTTTTTTCTCGTCAGAATCCATCTTGCGCATTTGCAAATTTAACATTTGCCCGTGCATTGAATACTGTTGCCATATCTGGCGATAATAGGATACGGATACCTACCAGTTCACACGTTACGCTCCATCATAACTTCCCCTTGTTACATCAAACAGGTTGTTATTTTATTTTTGACCATCCACAATAACGAACCATGGGCGAAAAAACAAAAACAAAATAAGAATCTTTTTATACCTAGCCAGAATACTAGAGACAAAAGACATGCCAATATAGATAAGACAGCCTAATTCTAATAAGAGAACTTAATGGCCCTAAAGTAAATAGATTCAGGAAAAAGATATCAAACGTTCTAAAATGATTGGATTCAAAATAGTAATAAAAACAAATACTAGGATTATATGCTTCCTTGACGTCACCCTCAACCTGGACAAAGAAACGTACGAGTCATTCAAAAAGGATAATGATACTCCCACATACATACAAACATCCTCCAACCATCCATCCTCAATTATCAAGCACCTACCTAAATCTGTCAGCCGCAGGGTATCCGAAAAATCATCTAACATAGAAAATTTACACGACAAAAAGCGCCATATAACAACGCATTAAAGAAAAGTGGAAACACGCAACAGCTAGAATAAACACCACCACAACCAAAAAAAAAAAAGAAAAAGAAAAAGATTAGAAAAAAAAACAACAAAAAAGAAATATAATTTAGTTTAACCCACTATACAAAAAAACCGTAGGAACAAACATTGGCAGAACATTCCTAAATAGGAAAAACACTTGCCCGTAACAAGCCGCTTAGCGAAAATATTTAGCAAAAACAACATAAAAGTTAGCTACAGCTACACTAAGAACATAACACACATAATAAAAAGCCACAACAAAAAATAATAACCTGTAAATAAATACCACTAAATGCAACTGCAGAGATAAAACCACATACCCACTACAAGGAAACTGCCTACAAACGAACATAGTATACAAAGCTAAGGTAAACGTAAACAACACTACAATGCACTACATTGGCGCCACAGAAAGAAACATTCAAGTAAAGAAAAAACACCCATGACCTCTCATTCTCCAACAGAAAATACTCCAACAGCACCACATTACCAACGTACAGATGGCAACTAAAAAATAAAAACATCACACCAAAAATAAGCTGGGAAATCATGAAAACCGCACCTGCCTACAATAATATATCAAAGAGATGTCTACTTTGTCTACACTAAAAAAGTGTCAACAATCTCCCACACTCATTAAAAGGAATTACTAAACCAAAGATCAGAAATAATTTGAAAATGCAGACACGAAAATGAATACCTACTATCACAGGTCATACCAGACAGATAATTCCTACATCGAAACTGGACAGAAACTGAAAAGAACACTAAAACATCAGATCACCAAAACCACGAATGCATAACCACCAACATGATCAAGTAACACTACAACACTGTTATCAAAACTACCACCACCTTC